TATACTGATCGACATTATATCTGACATTCAATTAAATTTTGATAAATTATAGTTTTTTTTTTCGGGTTAATTATATGAATGGTAATTGAACTTTATCCTATGTTACTACTTAATCACTGAACTTAAAAACGTAACTCAATGGTCATTGAACTTCGTCAAGTGTTAATACTTCATAACTGAACTTTAAAATGTATCTCAATGGTTACCGAACTTTGCACCATATTACCTTTCCGTCACTCAACTGAAAAAATCCGTTAAGTCCAACAAACGGTGTCAACTTGAATGACGGATAGGTAACACGGTGCAAAGTTCGATGACCATTGAGATATATTTTAAAGTTCGATTATGAAGTAGTAACATTTGACAAAATTCAATGACCATTGAGTTACATTTTTAAATTCAGTAACTAAATAATAATATGGTTGAAAAATCAAATCGACCTCAGTTACATTGGCACTATTCGAACATTTTTGTACTTTTATTTAATCTTTCTTCGTCAATTTCTTTTAGCGTTCCAACTGTTTTTCTTTCAATCTATTTATGCGGAGTTTGAGATACGGTGAACTGATACCAGTTGATCTAAAAATCAAACATACATTTTCACGGTGATGGATGAATATTAGCAACAATTCTATTTTTATTTAATTTATAGGTCTCTGATTTTTGTTTCCTCTTTTTTCACTTCATCTTCTTTTATTTCTTCTTTCATAGAGGTCAATTTGAGAAGCTTAGCCCTTGTTTGATCCCATTTTGAGGGATAAAATGAATTTTTGAATAGTATATTGATGGAAAATGTGTAATTAAAAAATAAGAAATTTTTTTGAATTTGCGTGTAATATTATTTTATTGAAAAATGTGTGGTTGAATGATGTCAAATCACTGTTTAAGAATCTATTATTATTATTATTATTATTATTTTAGAAAATGAGATTCTAATTCAATTTAAAAATATATCTTAATGGTCATAGAACTTTGCCCTATGTTACTACTTAGTCACTAACTTAAAAACGTAACTCAATGGTCACTGAATTTCGTCAAGTGTTACTACTTTATAATAGAACTTTAAAATGCATCTCAATGTTCACCGAACTTTGCACCGTGTTATTCATTCGTCACTCAAGTTGACGTCATTTGTTGGACTTAACGAATTTTTTCATTTGAGTGATGGATAGGTAATACGGTGTAAAGTTCAGTGATTATTAAGATACATTTTAAAGTTCGATTATAAAGTAGTAACACTTGGCGAAGTTTAGTGATCATTGAATTACATTTTTAAGTTGAATGACTAAGTAGTAGTGCAAAGTTAATTAACCCAAACTTCCCTTGTTGGATTCAATCAATAGTAGAATTCTTGGTATAAAATTTCTGCTCAAGCGAATCCATTTGTGTGCGAGTGTGAAAGAGAGATGGAAGGGATATCTGTGGTGGATCTTGAAGGCAGGACGTACAAATGCAAATTCTGCAAAACCCCTTTAGTTCTGGCTGATGAACTTGTATCCAAGGTACTTTAATCTGTTAATTCGTGGGAAATTTTTACCTTGTGCAATTGAATATTTTGGATCTGAACTTGATAAATCTTTTTATGCATGGGTAGATAATCGAATAATTTATATTGCTTGCTTGAATTCAGATCTTTTAGCTTTTGTCTCAACTATGAGATTTTCTTTGTTTTTTCTTCCTTTTAGACTTTTTTTGGATTGTGGTAAGATTTTTATGTTTATTTTGTGCTGTGTTATTTGTTCAGGCATTTCACTGCTGCAATGGAAAGGCATACCTCTTTAAAAATGCGTAAGCTCCTCACCGAAATAAAGTTTCTTCATTTATTATGAGAGAATTAAGGTTCTTTTAGTGTCAAGGGATTAAAAAAAATGAAGAAGAAAAAAAGAAAAAAAACACATGGGTTAGTTTTGCAAAGATTTCTTAACTTGGTCTGGTAACGAAAGAGTTATCCACTCATCGTGCACAACAAAGTTCAAGTTCAAGTTCAATTTGTGGACTTCCACTTTGGACTTTCCGGCAGGATACTGAGATTTTCATTTGAGCGATCACTTTGGAAAAAACTAAGTTTGGTAACTAACCCGAAACTTTGCTAGTGTGACTGATAGTGTTTACTGCTTTATGATCAGAGCAAACATCAAAGTTGGAACTGCAGAGGAGAGAATGATGTTTACTGGAATGCAAACCGTAGCAGATATATTTTGATATTTTGCTGCATTTGTGGGCAAATAGTTGGCTGGAAAATTGTAATCTCTTGCATCTGAATAAATTCATTTTCATTTAGACTTCTTCAAGTTGCTTATGAGTTCAATTTATCTAAATATTCTGTTTTAATCTTCCAGGTGACAGCTCACGAGCAGAGCCAGAAATATAAAGAAGGGAAATTTGTTCTTGATAGGTATTGTTTTCACTTTCTTCTTTACCATAAGCATTTTTCTTCTTAGAATTTCGACATTTATATTCCTGTGACATCAATGTTATCGTGTATGTGTATGCTTACCGGAACAGAGGAATGATTGTTGACGGAGACGAGTCTGAATTCAATATTGATACTCATCCAACTAGGAGTGCCGAGGAAGAAAAATAAAATTTATCATCCTTCTAGATGATAATAAATGTTTCTTGATGCTGTAGAGAGATGGCTTGTGCATGTAGATATAAAACTATGAAACTGCTGCTTGTAACGGATGAGAGTATAGCATTATCAGTACTTCATTATAATATAATTAAATTATATATTTATGGATCAATCGGTTATAATCTTTTTCTGGTATAAGGAATTATACAGCAAATGCTATTTCTATTCATGTTAAGGAATGCTGGAAGAATTACTTCTTGAAGTTCTTTTCATGTGTAACTTTATTATCCGAATAATTTGGTATAAAAAGAGGAGGGCATTGTTAAGACTCGGGGTCTGGTCAATTTTATTGAAAGGGGTGGCTCAAATCATTATATGTTGCTCTATATTTTCATATTTATTCAATGTGAAATTTTATCCTTTTATATATCCCGTAAAATGGGGGCTCGTTTTGATCAAACCAATTTTGAAACTGCTTATTGGAGTTTAATGAGCTCTGATAACATGTTAAAACTTGGGTTCCTTTTGAGAAGGTCAACCTTATTAAAAAGAGTGATATAAAAAGGCAATTTATATATTTGAGTGCTACACGATTCTCAGTTAATAATTAATTGAGTTCGAATTCGTATGTGAATCGGATATGGGCTAAGGTGATCAAGTGGCATCCAGCCAGCCATGCCAAAATATGAAGATAGGGTAAAGCAGAGTAATGTCTAATTGAAAGAATGCTAACAAATTAATAATAATAGAAGACAGAAATGGACGAGACATGTGACGACAAAAACCTACCTCCTCCTCAATCGATTGGAGCTTGCCCATATAATTCTACCCGACCAAAGGAGCTCAATTTCTCCTCATTTCGTCTTTTTTTTTTTTTTCTTGGGTAGGTATTTGAGAATTTTATTCAATATATTGATTCAAGCTTTCAGTGAAGATTTTTTTCGTTCCCTCTTCCAATTCGAGAACCTTCGCAATTATGCACATTTCCCCTGGCTGTACCTCTCCAAGGTCGTGTAATTTTCCAAATTTGACTTGCCAATTAGGTCATCTCAGTTGAAGTTCGCAAGATTTTAATTTTTTCAATAAATTGAGCCGAGCTCAGCAGTTTTCAGTGTTCTTGTTAATTACAAAGACATGAGCAATCAAGTTCTAGTTTGTGCTATTGGGTGAAAACTTCAATTCCTTTGTTAGAGGAGGTTATTCACCAACTTTTTCAATGCTGTTATAATCTTCTAATGTTGAAAATTTCCGTTCATTGGTTAGAGGAGGTAATTAACCAGCATTTTCAATGTCATCGTAATCTTCAAATGTTTTGACAAATGGGATGTGGTGTTATATTGTATTGTATTTGTGGGCGATTTCTCATCCCAGCTTAAGAAGCACCAATACTTATAAACTTGTTACGTATCCAATCCTATGGAGCACCAATACTTAAAAATGTGTAGTAATTCTAATAACATGTTAAGACTTGGATTTCGTCGTGTAGCACTCATATATATATATATTTGTGTGTGTGTGTGTGAAGTAATTTGATAACTCAATTAAATATACAGAGGAGTAGCACTCAAATATATAAATTGCCCAAAAGAGAAAAAAATAGCAGCACTGAAGTAATTTGATAGAGAAGAAAAAAATAAATAAAATGGCAATGACGTCAAAAAATTGTTACGATATCTTTTCGATTTAAATTAATGCAAGTGCACTGTCAATAATAAGTAGTAAAATAAATTTTGAGTCTAAATATCGTTCTCATAAACATTGTACTAATTCAAATTCGAATTAACTTAGCTTTAATTGAAACAATAGAAATTTGTGATTTTTTTATAACTAAACTATGATCTAATGATCTACTTATGAATGTAAGACCTAATTTAACTTAAATCAATGCAAGATTATAATTAAACGCAAGTTTCATAAAAATATGATGATAAAAACCTACTCGGATCCCGAATTCACTTATATCCAAATTTCATCCTTCTTGATCCTTCTTTCTTTTTCAATTAACCCAAACCAAGTAGAACTCAATATTTTGATGATGTAGAAGTTTAGTAATATAATCCGAATAAATGCACAAAACGTATTTGTCAGCATTCGTATCCGTGCTTTCTTAGACTTCAGTCTTTGCAGATGGCCTTACTGAAACCATGTATACTAGGTCGCATCAACTCAAACAGAAAAATGCCATAAGAGTACAAATGTTATGATACAGAGATAGAAAAGTAAATATCATAGGACCTGGCACCAAATCCACTATATCATATTAGTCTCCAGAAACTGCTACATCTAGACTAAAAGAAAGCTAATAATGAACTTGCGGTTGCAATGTTCTTAATCCTGTGACGCGCAATAGCTCAAAAGAACATCCTGAAAGGGGTCGGGGAATAAATTTGTAATTTCATGACAGAAGAGAGTAAGCATATCCTAGAGAGACATTCGGGCGATCTTGTAACTTTGCTTCTCAGAGAAAGCCATTAAGCTCCCTGGACTCTGTCCTTGAATCCTGTGAGGTTTGAGCCCTCTTCATGAGTCTTGAAGAGCTCTGCCTACGCCGCTCATTGTGGCCTGCTAAACGCGTGCGGCAACTCCTCTTTGTCTGATCGAATTCTGAGACCTCGTGAAATCTTAATAGCAAAGACAAGTACATTTCAGCAAACATTTGAAGAGACATATATATTACGGTAGAGGAGAACAGTCCTCAACTGAACCTTGAATATATGCAGACATTATCTTGAACTCTTCTATATTGTGATTACTCTCTTCAATCAGATCAAGAAAGTTGAGCTCAGATACAGAGAAAAGAAGACCCTTGAGAATAATTATTTGACCAGGAGGAAGTCATTCTCCTATATTGCTCGACTGAACTCTATCTCCCTGGTTTTCAGTTTACTGTGGTAGAGTATAATTATGCAGCAGCGATGGTTCTTCCTACTTTCTCATTTTAAGACTAAAAATGGAGAAAGGGTGGAGAGATTTCCACTTCATTCTCAACAGTTGGAGACGTAAAATTAGGCATGAGGTTTCAATTAGTCTACCTTATATTTCTTAGTTGTGGACTCTTCGTTGTGGTTCTAGCGAAAAACTTGTGAATTTGAAGTGGTCCTGTTTTAGAGAAACCGGACAGTCTTGTTCCAGTTCTGGGCTATTTTACTGCTAAATTAATCTCAATCACAATTAACTTTTCCATACTGGATGACACAGAAGGTCAATTTCGGTCTAACTTTAGCTTAGCTAGGGAAAAAATTGACTCAAACATCCTAGGTATAGGTAAAAATCCTTGGGTATAAACTTATGTTAGTCATTCAAGAAAGAAGATGAATAAAGAAATTATCTTAAACTGTACACAGTACAGACTCACGAGAGGGCCAAATGCCAATACAAATGCCAGAAGTTGCCAAATTACACTAGGAATAAATACTTAAAATCCCGCAGTGAGCATTTTGCCTGAACTTACAATCAACTATAACCAAGTAAATTTTTGTTTTCAAATATGTTTAGATAGTTTAATTTATCTACTGATACTAAGAAAAGTTAATTATTTTGACCCTAGGTCACAAGCAACCTATTTCAAATGGTGACCAACGAAAACTACTAATTTATTTAAGTAATTTTCGAGAGCTTATCCAAACCTGCTGCACTGCTGACAGAATCTCTGCCTCACCCCTGAAACAATAACCTCAGGAGCCTTGGAATGGATCTCACAAACCTTGTGCCTTTGATAATACTTCTTGCAACCTCTCAGATCAACCTCACACTTGTCCACCACACACCACGGCTGAGCCACCCCTCCACCAGCACCGACCTGAGCACTCATTCCAGTAATACCACCACCACCACCAAGATTAAACCTTTCCTTCGTCAAATTACTCTCCTTAAAATCCTCCATTTCACCCTCTTCTCCCTTTTCTTCTTCCTCAAATCCATTTTCCAACATTTTCTTGATTTTCATTATGGATGAACTGATAATTGCAAAGAGATGGCAAGTTGTAATAATGAAGCTCAAGGCATGGTGAGAAAAAGGTAGGAAGAAAAAGCAAGAAACAAGTACATGTTGAGATAAAAAGAGAGTATAAGGTTTGTGATGACCACAAGGGCCATTACCTCCCACACCAAACTCCTCTCTAAATGTGTATGTACTGTTCACATTTACATACAAATTTAACACTTAACAGGTATTGAAATTGTGATAGTTTATCACTGATTAAAGTTGGTCCTCACAGGGTACACTTTCAATAATTGGAATATATAGATTACCAGGTGTCCCTAGACATAATAGCTTATGTTACATTCAAATATATATACAGGCATGTATATATTTCATTCATTTGATTGATTTTATATATTAGCTTTAGCTTGCTCATCTAAGTCAATAGGGTAAAGGAGCTAGTCGCCAAAAACGAACTTCTGGGCTGAAGAGGAGCCTGATGAGTGCCTCTACTCGAGCATGATGTATTGGAAACTAGCAAAAGAAGGGAGAAAGTTTATTTTTGAAATAAAATGAATGTTTTCAAGATCCACCCTAATGTCATTATTGAATTGATTCCCATTAAAACAATGCATATACATTCTGTATGTGTTGTACCCAGGTACATAAGAAAAAATTAGTTATACTCTTCAACAATTACAAAATAGTTCTCAACTTTTCATTCATAACATTTGGATCTCCAAATGCTTGATTCCGTCGTATCTAAGTTATCAAAAAGCGGTTTCCATCTATTTAATTGTTAAAAAGTCAAATTTTAGCTAAAATTACTGCTGTGTTTTATTACTTATTTTATTTTAATATAAAATATAAAAGAAAAAAATAACAACAACAACAATAATAATAAATTAGCCAGCCAGCCAATTGCCTCAATTTTCAACACCAATGGACCCCGCCCCGTGATGTTCTCCTATAAGCTCATCCAATCTTCAAAACCAATGGCTAAACCCTCCAATCATCTTCTCCAAATCTTTTTCAAGTTCAAAAAATGACATTGCTTTACCTACGTCAATTATTTAGCTTTTGCGAGGGTTAATGCTATTTGACACCCATCTAGGTGGTATTAAATGAGAGATACGATTATATGAATCACATAATTTCGATTTCAATTAAATCTAGATAGGTGCTAAATAACATTATTCATTATAAAATATAGAGGAAAGCATTACTAGAAAGATGTTTATTCATTATTTCGGGTTCAAATGATTGCGAGTCCCTTTATTCATTTTCACAACCATATTTGATAATGAATCACTAAATAGTGCTCACAATTGATGATGAATAACATTACTTGATTTACTAAAATACTACTACAATTAACAAGGAGAGGCAGGGACGGATTTGGGGGGGCAGGGCAAGGTTGTAGCCCCCCCCCCCCAAGGCCAACAACTTTTTTCAAAAGGTATTTTTTTATTTTTTTTGGTAAAAAAAATTAGTTTTTTATGTGTAAATTTATTTTTTTTCCACGTAGTAGCCCGATTTAAAATTTTATAGCCCGGTCTTGGATCTAATCCTAGATTCGTCCCTAAGGAGAGGAATGGAAACATAACTTTACTACTTGACGGTCTAAAAGTGGAAATTGAGCAAAATGGCTTCCTTTTTCTTTTTCGATCAACCCCAAAAAAAATAAATGAAAAAGCTGATTCACTTGTGAGAGAAAAGCTAATGAAAAATATAAATAAATATAAATTTACCCATGTATGTAATTAAAATTAATTGTTAACTTTTTTTTTTATAAAAATTTAGATTTTAATTCTTACCAAACAGGGATATACTAAAGAGTACGTGGATGAGGAAAATCGGTGAGTCGGTGGTTACGGGTTTAAACTACAAGACTTCATCTTGTTTAAGATCAAAACAATTTTTAAAGCTCCTTTGACAAAGGTTGATGAAATTATAATTAAAAATTGTGGAAATTGCACTAGAAGCTCCAAACCTTTAAAACATTAGCAGATTTTCCCCAAATCTTTGAAACATTAGCAAACTTTTCCCAAACATTTGATTTGTTGAAGCCGTCACCCCCACCCTTTCCAAACATTGCAGGTGAAGTCCTTTTAGACGGTTGCCATCCACAATTCAATTAGTTGACCAAAAATTTAACTTTGACCACATTTTTAATATTTTAAGAAGGGGTAAAAGAGTAGATGTCCAATTATCACATTAAATAATAATTAAATTAAAAAATAAAAAAACACAACCCCCTATCTTCTTCCTCTCACCCACCTCCAACTCAAACAGCCATTGGTCCGATCTCTATCAAAATCAGGCTCCACCTTCAGTCCAACGACTTCACTGTCAAAGTGCTCCTTCCGTGACATCCCAAATTTTCTAATAAAGATTTTTATATTTTAGAGAGTTTGTTTTTAACTTTAGGAACTTAATTTAATGATAGAATAAATGTTATTAGGGATTGTAATTAAAATAATATTATGAAGATTGAAAATGCAATTCTATAATTGAATATTTGCCCAAGGGTTAAATATGCAATTTTATAAACAAAGAAAGAATTGCATATGTGGTCCAAGGTCTAAAGATGCAATTTTATAACCAATCAAAAAATAACACATTATCCTAGGGATTAGATGTGCAATTTGTGAAATTGCACAACTAACCCCTAACAAAAACTATAGATAGGGGATACTTATGAGATTTGCCATACCTTGTCTCCCATCATTTTCACTTCTTAAGGTATGTATTTTCTTTAAGTTAATTACTTCGAAAAAAAATTTTAGTGAAATTATTTATTTATTTATTTTAAGTACCTAGTTGGTTTATAAATAGGAATTAAAATGTGTGGTTTTAGGGTTCTTTAATGGTTGATAAAAGATAATATTATAGTTAGTTTAATCAATAAAAATCAAGGAAGATAAATTATAATTTTTCCATTTCAAAATCTTAACTTTGGAAATTTTAAAATTTATAAATTAGCTCAAGATATATTGAGTTTTAGTTTATTTTGCTTGCATTATTAAAGATTGTATAAAATACATTTGGGGGAAATGTAGTAAAGAAGGAGTGAGTAGGGATAGAAAATAACTTGGTATAATAGTTGTCAATATCATCATGATAATGGTTATGAAAATTGGGCCACTATTATATTTATATATATAAACATGGTAAATTTAAATGGGAAGAAAGAAAACAATTAGTACTTGAGGCTTAAGCTTAAATTACTTTGATCTAGTTTTGTGATAAGATATGAAGAAAAAATTGCTATAATGCATAGTATCAATGATGAGATATGATGGAAATGTGGTAAAGAAGATTATGGATTGAATAAGAAAATTTACTAATGGGTCTAAATATATATAAATACACACACACACACACACACACACTTGTGTTAATTGAAATGAAAAGTGGATCAAGCATGAAATAGGAAAATAATATGGTAGTACATTGGCTAGCTTAAATCGCACGTGTAATAATTTTATGGAGGTTATTTAATGACGGTAACAAAAATTTCACTTATATTATTATTGTTTATTACTATTAGTTGATGGTAAACTAATTTCATTATTTTTTTTTGGGTATATTATTAAGTAACATAAATTATCTTAGAAATAATAAGATAAGATATGATTAATATAAAGGTTATTGTATCAATGTAGACATCGATCAAGGAAGTCGCGAAAAAGGTAAATATGATGTTTTTCAACTACAGTACAAGATACATTAATATGTGTAATTATGTTTTTATATGTGCTTGTCTCTTTTTACCATGTGACATGGTAGCATGTTACATATGCATTGAGTTTATTTGGAAAATGTATGTATAATTACGTTTTCAAGATCATACATACTTTTGTTATCATGCTAATTGAGTTGTAATTGAAAATTTTGAATGTGAATCACATTATAGATGTACCGTACTATTGTATCCGAATAACTATACCGCTTGAGGCTCCTGACTGTCATTAAGGGTAGCCAAGGATAAGGTATTGGAAGTTCGGCACCTATATATACAAGCGGTGTCAAGAGGTCCCTTGATGGCCTTGGGACTGCGGATAGGCATTTGAAGCACTGCATATATGTGTAGGTCAGGCCTTGAATTTGTATATATGATATACTGATGTGACATCCTCGGTGGGCAACGATGGATGCGTAGATATTGGTTTGCGGGCAAGAAAAGCCATGTTAATTTTGAACTCATTCGGTGCACTATAATAAGGATTTGGGCCCATGTATACTTGACATGCATCATCGCATTATCATATTTACTGAATTCTATGGTTCACGTTTTGTATTTTGTACTGTAGATGCCCCCACGAAAAATTGAAATTGTTCGTACCACCAAACATGCCGAAATTACTGAGGACCTCATGGCTATACATGTTATATATAGGCGTACTCACTGTACACGTTTTTATATGATGGTTGACGAGGAAGAAGAGATCAAAACTTTTGAAGATGGTGAGGATTTTGTAATGGTGATGATTGATGTTTATGATTTGGTCACTTGTCGTTATGTAAATACTATAATGTATGTAGAGTCGGCAACAATGTGCCATTATGTAAAATAGGAAAAAAAAAAGGTCCCTAGTAAAAGAGTGGTGAAAATGAAAGGATTTTGAGAAACTTTAACATACCTCCAAATCAGCTTGCCGTATTATGAGTTTTGCAACAGATTTTTCAAAAGTTTGCTATAGATCTATTCTACAACAGGCTGATTTGGCTGTATGTTAAAGTTTCTCAAAATCCTTTCATGTACACCACTCTTTTACTGGGCACCTTTTTTTTTTTTTTTCCCTATTTTACATAATGGCACCTTGTTGTCTACTCTACATACATTATAGTATTTACATAACGACAAGTAACCAAATCATAAACATCAATCATCATAATTACAAAATTCTCACCGTCTTCAAAAGTTTCGATCTCTTCTTCCTCGTCAACCATCGTATAAAAACGTGTATAGTGAGTATACGCCTATATATAACATGTATAGCTATGAGGTCCTCAGTAATTTAGGCATGTCTGGTGGTACGGACAATTTCAATTTTTCGTGGGGGCCGCTACAGTACAAAATACAAAACGTGAACCATAGAGTTCAGTAAATATGATGATGCAATGACGCATGTCAAGCATACATGGGCCCAAATCCTTATCATAGTGTACCGAATGAGCTCAAAATTAACATGACTTTTCTTGCCCGCAAACCAATATCAACGCATCCGTCATTGCCCACCGAGACTCAGGATGCCACATCAATATATCATATATACAAATTGAAGGCCTGGCCTACACATGTATACAGTGCTTCAAGTGCCTATTCACAGTCCCAAGGCCATCAAGGGACCTCCTGACACCGCTTGTATATATAGGTGCCGAACTCCCAATACCTTATCTTGGCTACCCTTAATGACCGTCAGGAGCCTCAAACGGTATATTTATTCGGACACAATAGTACGGTACATCTATAATGTAATTCACATTCAAAATTTTCAACTACAACTCAATCAGCATGATAACAAAAGTATGCATGATCTTGAAAACGTAATCATACATACGTTTTCCAAATAAACTCAATGCACATGTAACATGCTACCATGTCACATAGTAAAAAGAGAAAAACACATATAAACACATAATTACACATATTAATGTATCTTGTACTGTAGTTGAAAAACATCATATTTACCTTTTTCGCGACTTCCTTGATCGATGTATGCATTAATACAATAACCTCTATATTAATCATATCTTATCTTATTATTTCTCAATTATCACATCTAAACTAAACTTATAAGATAATATAGGTTACTTAATAATATACCCTAAAAAAATTAATGAAATTAGTTTACCATCAACTAATAGTAATAATAATAATAACAATAATAATATAAGTGAAATTCTCATTGCCGTCATTAAATAACCTCCATAAAATTATTACACGTACAATTTAAGCTAGCCAATGCACTACCATATTATTTTCCTATATCATGCTTGATCCACTTTTCATTTCAATTAACACAAGTATGTATATATATATATATAAAATAGTGGTCCAATTTTCATAACCATTCTCATGATGATATTGACAACTATTTTACCAAGTTATTTTCTATCCCTACTCACTTCTTCTTTACTACATTTCGCCCAAATGTATTTTATATAATCTTTAATAATGCAAGCAAAATAAACTAAAACTCAATATATCTTGAGCTAATTTATAAATTTTAAAATTTTCAAAGCTAAGATTTTGAAATGGAAAAATTATAATTTATCTTCCTTTATTTTTATTAATTAAACTAACTATAATATTATCTTTTATCAACCATTAAAGAACCCTAAAACCACACATTTTAATTCCTATTTATAAACCAACTAGGTACTTAAAATAAATAAATAAATATCTAAATAAATAATTTAACTAAAAAAATTTTCGAAGTAATTAATTTAAAGAAAATACATACCTTAAGAAGTGAAAATGATGGGAGACAAGATATGGCAAATCTCACAAGTATCCCCTATTTATAGTTTTTGTTATTGCTTAATTGTGCAATTTGTATGACTAATGGGTCATGAGGTGTATTTTGTAAAACAGAATTCTCTTTTGGTATAATATAAACTTGACGGTTTTTTTAACTCTTTGTATTACTACTTTGATTTCCTTTGATGTATTAGGAGTTTATTGCAAAATGCTTACTTGAGTTAAAAACAAATTGCTAAATCCTAATATGACTTTAATTTAAGGAATAAATTAATTAATTAATTAATGAAATTAAGAGTAGAGCGTCTCACCTACATTAGCCCAGTAGATGACGAGGACGGACCCAGGTCCCATCCCAACGGGTCGGAGTCGGACGACCCTGTCCCATCGAAATGGGCTGCCCAATCGGGTTCTTTCTTGTTATTATTGCCACTTCCATTTTCAGTGGAAAAACATTTTGGTAAATCGGATAAAACCCTAAGGTTTGGGGTTTTGATGTTGGTTTTAATAGATAGTTGGGTAAATATGCGATGAAGGGATTGCATTTTCTCCTCTTCTTAAACCTATCTTTCTGATTGAACTGCAAAATGAAGAAGCACTGGTAAGAGAGATTACACACTTGATTTCTTCGAAATGGGCATAGCTAATTTGATCTCTTGTACTGGTTTGGAAATCCTGAAAGAGTGAAAGAAACTACACTTGATGGTTTGGTAGCAGCATTCTAGGTTACTAACGAAACGGGTCAAATTTGAACTGCGTTACAATTCTTTCAAAAATATCATTTCCAATTAGAACAATTACCGTGCTAAAAATGGATCTCAAGCTGAAAGATTGGAGGCACAAGACTCTTGATTGAGGCGGAGGCGGAGGTGGAGGTGGCGGTGG